TATACACACTCATATATATGGAATATTGCTCAACTTTACAAAAGAATGAAATTATGGAACTGGAGAATACCATGCTAAGCAAAATAAGCCAATCCCCAAAAACCCAAGGCTGAATGTTTTCTGATATGTGGATACCAATTCACCATGGGGGGGTGGGGAATTGAGATACTGGCATGCACCACTGTGCCCATCCTGAGCTCAAATTCTTATTCTCCTTGCCATATCATGCAGCAAGAAGGCCCTCCTCACCAGCTAGGCATGGTAGCACACACCTGTAATCCCAGCAACTCAGGAGGATGAGGCAGGAGATGTGGGCAACAAGCTATTGAATTTCCTACTGTTAAACTATTAAAAAAAAAAAAAAAAATCTACCTCTGTTCTTTATAAATTACCCAGTTTCAAGTAACTCTGTTACAGAAGCAGAAAATGGATTAAGACATACAGCATAGATAAGAAATCTACCTGGGTAAAGAGGTACTTCTGGAAATTCTATCAGTCCTTTCAGGTTGAAGTAGTACCTTTTATAAATTACTGCTACTGGGTATTAAATGTTCCTGTAAGACTGAAAGAATCAACTCCATTCATCCTAGACAGTTTGGGAGCAGCCTATTTAATGACTGAGCTAATCCATCTCACAATTCTCAAAAAGCAGGGTTATCAAAAAAATATCTGATAGAAAGGCCTTAACATAGAATTCAGATGCAGTTGCGCTAATGAAACAGTGCTCATGAAAGGGGAAAAAAAATGAAAAACTTATATGGAATTTAAATGCACTACCAGGCCCAGTGGTGCATGTCTGTAACACCCAAACACATAAGGCTGAGGCAGGAGGATTGCAAGACCAAGGCCAGCCTCAACAACTCAGTGAGACTCTGACTCAAAATTTTTTAAAAGGGCTGGGGATGAAGTACAGTTGTAAAGTACCCCTGGGGGATGACGGGGGAGCACTCCAGTAATGTATACACACACACACTCACACACACGCATTCATGGGGACTTATATGTTTATTATATCATTACCTATATCAAGCATCAGAGAATTAGACAAATTGGAAGTGATCTTGTCATGTAAACTTAGGAAACTCTGGTGAAAGTCTAAAGGTATGTTTTGTTGTTGTTTTTGTTTTCTGGGTTTTTTGGGGGTACCAGGGATTGAATTCAGGGGCACTCGACCACTGGGCCACATCCCTAGCCCTATTTTGTATTTAATTTACAGATATGGTCTCACTGAGTTGCTTAGCAAGCAACTCACAGTTGGTGAGGCTGGCTTTGAACTCACAATCCTCCTGTCTCGGCCATACAATGTATTTTGAAGGGACTTTTTTTCTAGATTTTATCAACAACTCATCTGGAGTACAGCTTATATGAATAGACACTTTGAGAAGGATATGCTGTTACCAACTTTAACAACAATGGAGAATCAGAAATTTCTTATTTAACTGAACATATGTGACTAAAGAGATGAGGCTTTTAAAATCTGGGCTTTTATGCTCCTGAAGGAAACTTCAAAGAATTATGTGCAATCTAAAATAACCAGGGAGGACTAGAACATGGGCTTAACTCTGAGCAAAAACATTGTCACTGTGAAAAGTGGATCACAAGAGATCACAAACTCCCAAAGCTAGGGATTTTTGTGTCTAGTTCACTGCCTTTTAAAAAAGGGCTGAGGATGAAGCACAGTTGTGAAGTGCCCCTTTACAAAATAAAATACAAATAGGGAGTTTTGTGTCTAGTTCATCCCCACTTAGAATAGTGCTTTCCACCTTGCAGACATTTAGTATTTAATGAATGAATCAAAGAAGTGCTCCTGGTGCATGGTAGAAGTCAACTGAAATTCACTTCATATAACAATATTTAATAATCTCATGCCAACTGGAGAAGCTATTACTGAATGGCTAATATGTTACAAAGCTAATTATACCATACTGTATACTTTCTAAGGGAAATTATGGTTTTAACTTTAAAGAAGCTGGACCTAGTAATTTTGAAATTGATATTATCTGCTACTAAGGAAAGAGTGGAGTAGTATTATGGGCACACGGCATTCCATGCATTTTCATCTTCTTAAAGCCCTCTGCACACAGAAAGAGAACATACAGGTGCTGCTTCCTTCAGACCCTGGCACATCACTTGAGGCTCCTATGCTAGCATCTGCCTAGCAGTGCTCACAGATGGAAGCCATTAGTCACCTGTTTAGTGTTCCCACCTTGTCCATCCACCTTCAAATGTAACTGCAGTGAGCTGAAGGAGTCAGCATCTAGTCTTCCACAGCTAGTGCATCACTCCTCAAGCAAAAAAGGGAAAAGTTTACACTTCAGAGGATGGAAGTATCCATGCTGCTTCAAGGTTTCACAGACTTCTTAATGATCATTAGTTCCAACAATACCAAGACAAAGACAGCTAAAAGCTGCAGAATCACAGGTGGGCTGTCACACAGGAGACTACAGGCTTGAGCACTATAAATGATATTTGTTCACACCAGATTAATTGCTTAGAAGGATCAAAATGCAGTTGACAGCTACATATTGATTTTCTTAAAAATAAAGCACAAAAAAATATGAATAAATTATACTTTTATTTTTCACAAGCAAAAAAAGATAAATGGCAACTTGCCTTTGTAAAAGACATTAAAGAATATCAGAGTAATAAGCTACCCATCTCATAGAGACAGTAGCCTCAGAAAGCCTATTATACAGCTTTTAAAGAAAGTCTTATTAAATAAATCTAAGAATAATATACTTTTAACTAAATGAACAAATCAAAAATGACCACACACACATACCACACATACCACACAAACAAAATCATATAGAACCCACAAAGTGGTAATGTTTAGAAGGAAAAAGGAAAAACTGGAAGTTCTTTATTAAATTCAAGGAGGCTCAAATCCTAAAACAGAAAAAAAAAGAAATATATTAAAACACAATATTTTAAAGAGTATATTATAGTTTGTTTCTTTCTCTCTCTTTCGTGGTCTCCAGTCTCAGATATACATTTTAATGCTTAATTTACTCAAGATATTTTTTTCTTACTCTTGGAGCAATTTTATATACCATAAAGAGATCACAAGACTGACAATGTAGGTATCTGCCTTCTTAATGGGCTCTTCAAGTTTTATATTTCAAATCTGATTCTCGAATCCTAATTAAATGTTTATATAATAGGCTTCTGAAAATGGAATTACATTTTAAATTGCATTTGCTTAATTTTTACACATTATAGTTTATAAACACCACCTTCATACTTTTGAAAGAGACACAATTTATGGTATGAATAAGGCACATGAAAATACATAACCCTTCCCATAAAGTATGAAGATGCCCAATACAAAATGATATGGTTGGTGGGGAGTAGGTAGAGTGGGAGGTAAAAAACCACCATGTTACAGCATATTACAGAAGGCCTAGAGTCTAGATTCTGTTCTTCACTAGCTATGTCTCAACTTCCTTAGGTTTTCTTTCTGATAAGAAAAAGCAGATGCATCTCTCAGAATTGGAAAACCTTTTTTGGGCAGTTGAGTAAATGTCTCAAATTTTGCAAAGCCCATCACTATTCAATCAGATGGCAATAAAAAAACATTCCATAATCTCACTACAAGAAAAAATTCTACCTAACATTCAAAATTATACTTCATATCTGATTTATACATTATGACATAAAAAACAAATGTCTGTTTCCTTCCTGGCCTCCAGAGCATTCTCTGAGATAAGAGACCACTGAGAACTCTAGTGCTATGATGATGGATAAGACTCTAACCTGCTTTTCTTTTGGTTTACCTGTCTCTCTAAAAGCACCTATTAGAGAGTCAACTATTACATAACAAATTCCCTGTACCCTATATATTATATAAAACTTCTTCATTATAGAGAATGATTCTACCAGGAAATTTTTCCTGACATTCTACCAAAATCTTGCTGAAAAAAATCTTGCATTGTTGGAAAACTATTTATTAGAATAAACTGATGCAAGGCAACTGAAAAAAAACTTTGTAGTAGCAGAGTCCTAAAGAACAAAAAAGAGTTGAATCCCTAGGACTCACAGTATCTCTCACTTATAAAGGTCTAATAGCTACTTAAACCTTAAGTTAATTAATAATTCTCATGGGCCAGTTCAAACATTGAGTTAGAATAAGTGCTTTCAGGTAGTTGAGGGTTTGGATTATATCAACTTTCAAGTTTAGGGAAGAAAAAGAAAAAAAAATAGGTTAAAGATCATATTGAGGGCTGGGGTTGTGGCTCAGTGGTAGAGTGTTTGCCTAGTACATGTGAGGTACTGAGTTTTCAGCACCGCATATAAATAAATGAAAAAAATAAAGGTTCAGCAACATCTAAAAAAATTTTTTTAAAAAAGATCATATTGACCCTCAGATGGACAGCAGAAAACATCTGCCACATTGAACTAGCCACAGCACATATTTTCATTATAACATCATATAATGAGTATTTCCTTGGTTTAATTTTATTTCCTTATGAATTTTTCCCTTTTTTTTATATTTATTTTTCAGTTTTCGGCGGACACAACATCTTTCTTTGTATGTGGTGCTGAGGATCGAACCCGGGCCGCACGCATGCCAGGCGAGCACGCTACCGCTTGAGCCACATCCCCAGCCCGAATTTTTCCCTTTTGCCACATTCACTACAAAGAATTTGAACTAGAAAATGTAAGAGCAATGAACATATATAAAAATACTTTTCAAAGGATCAGAGACATTCAGATATATGTAGTTTTCTAAGAAGCAAAATTAAGAGGTTTACAACACTAGATCATCTCTTGAAATTTCCTATGGGTCTATAATTCTCACAAATTTATATTAATAATATACTATAATGAAGATTAGATATGCATATCACTTACTGTTTCTCTTTAAATATTTATGGATATAACTGTGTTTTTCTAAATGTTTCATTAGTAATACTAAGTCTTGTAAGTCTGGTTCCATAATAATCTATAATGTAACTACTTCCATCTGAAGGTCCAACAATCTAGAAGAGATAAATTTTCAAAAATTAGCTCATTTTGAAAAATACATTTCATAATGCTTTGAATTTACTCAGTAATTAATAAAATTGTTTCAATTGCCATAAAATTTCAACTCTAAGCAAAATAAAAAAGTTAACTGAGTGGCTCATGTAGCTCACAGATTCAAAAGAAGAGCTACAAAGTCTTCAAGAACCAAGGCGTTAAGGACTGAATTCTGTGTCCCACAAAGCCCCTGGGTTTGGCCTCCCTGCCTGTTTCCTTTGCTCCGCTTGTCTTCATTCTGCAGGCAGGCATTCTCAACTGATACTTACAAGCTAGAGATTCACATATTCCCACATTAGCAGCTCCTCAAAAAAAGTAAAATATTCTTCCCCAGTGTTTATATACCAAATCCAGAGAAAGACTTTCATTTATCTGCCTGTTTTTTATTATCTATTACTAGACAAATTACTATATCCAAGGAAATAGAATTAATAAGATTATTGTTAATCAGATTCCCTGTAGGAGATGATGCAATGTGATTCAAAGTCCTGCCAGAACCACCTGGAATGGAAAAGGGAGAGAGAGAAAAAAAACAACACATGTTCACTACAATCATCTTGTCCATTTAACCATATTTGTGATAATTCAATTAACATAATGTCTGTAAATTATCCGTTAAGGTAGCAATCTTCAAAGTGAGCCTTAAGGGTAGATAAGGAGCTACCATGGTGTATATAGACCCAGTGAGTTCTACTGGTATCCATTTTGAGATACTAGATTACGAACAGATCTGCCTGACATTATGCTATAGTGGAATATTTAGCTGGTTTTCTTTCCAACTTCTCCTCTCTCTATGATCCTCTTTCCAGCTTGGTCAGAGTAAAGCATCCTGCCATCAGAGCTCACCTGAGTCTCACGATAGCACACTGCTCTGATGTGCAAAACCTCTAAAGGGCCAAATCAAGGGGTAATTCAAAATACCAGACTTAGGAAAATTTCCTCTAATTAGAGATCCAAACATATGTTCTGCTACATTTTGTTCTAAAATTGCATTCCCAATAACATTTAGCTCTTTCTTCTTAAAAATAATCTGTTGAATTTGTAACACGTTAATGCTGTTTTCAACCATAACAATTATAATAACTCAATCCAGATAGCTCAGAAAAACTTTTAATTTAATTTTAATAAATAAGATGATTAACAGAAAGTTTTTAAGCATAAAAATACATAAGTTAAATTTTGTGCAAGAAGGAAAATAGAAATCAAATTCAAAGAGAAAAAAAGCAATGTGAAATTATAATGATTTGTGAAGGGTTCATTCATGTCTTTTTTAAGAGGATGACATTTTAAATCCTATGGCATTTATAGTCTGTTGGATACATTTAAAAATTGATGTAACAGTTTTATTTAAATATGTCAATATTTGAAATGACATTCTTTGCAACTATTTAAATTTATGATAAACTTAAATGTCAATTTAAAAATACGTAGAGGGCACAGACTTAAAAAAATTTCTTCTAGGGGTTATTCAACTAGAGTTTAAAGAAAACAACTATAAAGCACTCCCCAGCAGGGCACGGAGGCTGAGGCAGGAGGATCCTGAGTTCAAAGCCAGCCTCAGCAACTTAGCAAGACCCTGTCTCAAAATAAAACATAAAAAGGGCTGGGAATGTGGCTCAGTGGTTAAGCACTCCTGGTTTCAACCCACGGTAACAAAAAAAAAAAAAAGAAGAAGAAGAAGTGTATGTATTGGGGGAGGACTTTTTTGTCTCTGAAAGTGACAACATAAGGAAATGATGCTAACCAAAAAATATGATGATAGCAAAGAAGATAGGAAAGAGGGAGGGAAGAAGATGAAATAGAAGAGGGAAAACTGAATGGAATCCATACTATATCATTTTGCTCTGAATTAAGAAATCTCAGAATTGTCTAACCTCCAGATTGTTGTATGATACAATAAACTCTAATGTTACTTGTACAGTCAACAATCCTAATAATGCACTTGTCTTCAATGTCTCCTACAGATAACTGCCAGATACCCAAAGCACAACACTAGTGGTATTTATGCTAAAACAGTTTAAAGAACTGTTCAACCAAATTAAGTCAGTGTGTAAAGCATTGGTCCAAAAGAAAAATTTTGACAAAGCTTATAGCTAACTAGCTTTAGGATCAAATAATTTAATCCTCTCTGGTTCTCAGTTTTTCTTATCCATATACAGGAAAACTTGAAGAACAGATCAAGCTGATCTGTACAGCACTTTTTAAGTTCTAATGTCTTCCAAGACTACAACATTTAAGTACAAACATCTCAGTTTAGGCATCTAAAAGCTATCATTAATATGCTTTTCTATGAACCAGCCCATTTAAGAAGAAATCACCAGGCGCAGTGGTGTTCACCAGTAATCCCAGAGACTGAGGCAGCAAAAGATAGCAAGTTCAAGGCCAGCATCAGCAATTTGGCAAGATCCTGTCTCAAAATAAATAAATAAATAAATAAAAAAGGTCTGGGAATGTAGCTAAGTGGTAGAACACCCCTGGGTTCAATCCCCAGCACTAAAAGGGGGAAAAATATGATTCTTCTCCCCTTACTTAATTATAAAGAAAACTATCTGCTGTAAAGGTTCCAACTATTCAAATCCATATTCCCTTACCAAAATTTAAAAAAATACTTAATAAATGTTTCAATTATAAAACCTCTTATTATGAAGTTGGTATTACATTGTTAATTATAAAACTACAAATCTTTAAAAATATTCCATACTGGGAAAATTTTACTTAGTAAATATAACCTATTAGTACATTGATAAGAGAATATGAAAACTAAAATTATTAATTTAGATTTTAATTATACCCCCAGCCCCAGTTTCCTGTGGCTGGGGGTATAATTCGGTAGTACAGTGCTTAGCATAATCAAGGTCCTGAGTTCAATCTCCATCACCAAACAACCCAGCCCGAAGCCAAAGTTCCATAGTATGCAGTATTTCCAATCAATATTCCTCTCTTCCAGCAGAGACAGACTTTTGAAATCTATAGGGTGAATAAATACCACCTCCATGCTTCATTGCAGTTAATGAGCCAAGAAGTTGCTATAGAGGTTTTCGTCTTAATAAAAGGGGGAAAGAAGAGGGCCACTACACTATGAGGGGCAATTTTCCAAAATATGTATCAATGTCTCTCCATAAGAAGCCCTATTACCACAAGTAAGCAACTGCACGTCCCTCTGCACGTTTCCTTAAAAATTACCACAATGTTGTGAACTAACACAGTGGACATGAACAGTTCTGGAGGTCAGAAGATCTAAATCAACATAACTGTTATGTCCTACAGAGACTCTAGGGAAGAATCTTTTAGGATTCTAAGCTTCCACTGATAACTGGCATTCTTTGGAATACCTTTGTTTGTAGCCAATTATCAGTTTAATCACATTTGAAATTGGACTTAGGGTCTACCAAAGTAATCCAAGATTATCTCTTTATCTCAAGATCCTTAACTTTTTCTTTCTCTTTCTTTCTTTCTTTGGAGGTTGGGGGTGATACTGGAGCTTTCCCCAGGGCCTTGCACATGCTAGGCAAGCAATCTACGACTAAGTCTGTGATCCTTAAATTAATCACATCAGCAAATACCTTTTTTTCCTAAATAAAAGAACATTTGCAGGTTCCAAGGTTTGATATGAACATGTTTTAGCTTATCACATCCTCCTTCTATGAGATGTTGTGGTAGTTTGGAGAGATTAAGTAAAACTACCTCTTTTGTGTTATTTCTGATTTTCAACAAGAAATTTTACTGGCATAGTAAATGTTAAAAAAAAAAAAAAAACCCTCATTGTTTATATAAAAGGATAGGCTTTTCTATAGGTGCAAAGTCTATAGCAAGAAAAGTAAATTTAAAAAAATTTAAAGAACATATTAAAATCGAGACTATTATGAAGTGGTCACCAAATTTCCTATTTTTCTGTTCTTTATCCTTTTTTTTTTTTTTTTTGTGTGTGTGTGTGTGTGTGTGTGTACGTGGTGCTAGAGATTAAACCCAGGGCCTTGTGCATGCAAGGCAAGCACTCTACCAACTGAGCTATATCCCCAGCCCTATTCTTTATCCTTGATGCCCAATGTCATTCTCAATAACTTCCTCCGAACTACTCATAGGCAGCTACACAAACAATGGGAATTTCATTAATTTGGCATTTGACTTGGATATACTCTTATGCTTAAAAATGTGATGTCCTTTGAAAAGTACACTTAACTTATCTGAATAGTTTAAAACTATGCTCTGATTTTAAGACATTTCCATGTAACTGTCAGGTACATCTAGGTAAGTACTGCTATGATTATTCTAATGTTACAGAGAATGCGTCCATTCTCCTATTGGTGAACCCATCTAGATTGATTCCAACTTCTTGCTACTACAAAGAATGCTACAATAAACATCATTATACATGTCCAAATGTGAACAGGAAGAAACTTTTTTGGATAAATACTAAGAAGTATCTCTTGATTTACTTATTAATTATGTGGGTATCCTTTGCTATGAATTGCCTAATTATTTATTATGTTCATTTAACTATGAGGCTCCCTATCATTTTATTGATTTGCAGAAATTACTTGAATATTATGGACAGCAATTCTTCTTGCTAGTATGTTTTTACTTAATCTGTGAACTTAACTTGGTCTAAGGACTGGAGATAAAGCTCAATGGTAGAGTGCACAAAAGGCCCTGGGTTCAATCCCCAGTCCCACAGGAAAAAGAAAAAAAAAAAAACTTAACCTGGCCTATTGCCTTTAAAAACAGAATTGCTTAATTCAAATTTGATTTTGAGTAGTCAAATTAATTGATTCCTGCCCCCCCTTCATGTTTTATGTTTTGGGGATCTTGTTTCAGACTCAACCCATTCAAGACCATAAACTCTCTTCACTTAGTTTAATATAAAATTTAACTACAAAGCTCAGTGTCTATACCAAACCCAAATCTGCTGGCATTTTGATCTTAGGCTTCCTGGGCTCTAGATTTCTAAGCAATGAATTTCTGTTGCTTATAAATTTACCTATCTAAAGGTATTTTGTCATAGCAGCTCTAAGACGGTCCTAAAGGAAAGCATTCACTTTTTTTTAAAAGTACCATTTTTAGCTTTTCATACTGCTAGTACTTGGCACAAAACCCACACTTTTTCACAGATAGATTGCATTCATTTAAATCAGAAAAAAAAAAAAAAAAAATTCAGGGCATATATGTTTAGCATACTACTAAAGAAATTTTCCTCAAGAAATTAATGTGTGAAAAGTCAAACCTGGTGTTTAAAAGCTCAGAACAGTAATAATACAAAGCAGTATATAAGCCAGTGCTAAAATGAGTGGCATATAGTAAGTGCCAAAACAATAAGATACATTTTTCAAATCTGATAAATTTATTTACAAAATTCATAAATGTCTCGGAAAGTATGTGAATTACTACTCCTTATCCAGTTGAGCCCTTTAAAAAAATACAATGAGTAACATTAATAGGAATAAAAATGAAAATAATTTCTTCCACGATACACAAAATTTTTAAAAACTGAAATAAACAAAAAAACAACATACTTTCTTCTAACTACTTTCTACATCCCAACACATATTTTCATTTTCCCCCTTATGCATATTTATCTTCCTGATTTGTGGTTATCTTCCCTCTACTTAACAAAACTTTGATAGAGTAGACATCAGTGATCATATAATTTAAAATGTTAGACTATGTGAGTGAAAAAGGAGGTTTAAGCATAAATAAAATATTCCATTTTTTATAATAAAAAAGCTTATACCATCTAATCTATTCTTTATGGTGCATATATATATATATATATATATGCATCACTTAATAATGACATGTTCCCAGAAAAGCATAAGCAGGCCATTTTATCATTTTGCAAACTTCAGAGTGTAGTTACACAAATCTAGGTATATACCAGTCACCTGACCTAGCCTATTGATGCAGTAAACATAAGATGAGGCAGATGCTAAAATAATACAGCATGCTATTTCACAGTAAACTTTTTTAAATAAGTGGACGTATACTCTAAAATAATGATAATACTATAATAAACACTTAAATGACGAGTAATGAAGTCATTTATTATCACACATTATATATTGCATATAACTGTGCTATATTTTTATATAACTGCCACTAAAAACAGGCTCGTTTCCATGAGCATCAGCAAACATGTCAATAATACATCACACTACAATGTCAGGGACAATTATGATGTCACTAGGTGATAGGAATTTTTCAGCTCTACTACAATCTTATGGGACCTGCATGATATATGTGGTTTATTTCAGTTGGCCAAAATGTCTTTATACAGGACATAATTATATGCAAAAATCCATAGATACAACAGAATGACTGTTTTTAAATCTACAAACCTACCTTAAGAATAACTATATATAATTTATATATAATTACTTACAGCTGAAAAATTGTATACTCTAGGTATCACTGATTTACATTTTTGTTGACTGCATTCTATTTACTATTTCATCTTATTCATGATTTATATTGTTTCCTTATAATACAAATATAAAAATATAAAAACTTCCAAATTTTATTAACAGATAAAGGCTATGTGAGCTAGACATGCTGGTACAGGCCTACAATCCTAGAGACTCAGGAGGCTGAGGCAGAAGGATTGAAAGTTTGAGGCCAGCCTCAGCAACCTAGCAAGATGCTATTTCAAATGAAAACTAAAAAAGGCTGGGGATGTGACCCAGCCATTAAGCACTCCTGGGTTTAATCCTTGGTACCAAGAAGAAAAAAAAAAAAAAAGTATTTTCAGTGAACATAGCGACATATAAACCTTCTTTACTGTAGCAATATTTTATTTTCTTATTTTATTGGTACTAGGGATTGAACCCAGGGGCACTTTACCACTGAGTCACATCCCCAGCCCTTTTCATTTTTTTTATTCAAGACAGGGTCTCATTAAGTTGCTGAAGGCCTTGATAAGTTGCTGAGGCTGGCCTCAAACTTGGAATCCTCCTGCTTCAGCCTCCCAAGTCACTGGGATTACATGTGTGTAACACTGCAACCAGCTGTGCATTATACTTTATGTTGTTTTGGTTCTAACATGAAATAACTGTATTCCTATATTTTTGTAATAAAGATTGTGAAACAATGTTTTTATAGGTCCAAATCCACGTATATATTTCTGAGATCATAGTCCAATAGAAAAACACTCCTATTCACTGGGAAATAATATTTAATGGCAAAAGAAAAAGAAGTTAAAAAAAAAACAGGCATGGAGAAAGAAGAATAAACAAAAGGTCTATTAAGAAATTTAAAAATATAATCAGGACATAAATATTATAGTTGATGATATTTAAAGTAAAAATTATTTGATTTGCTGAAAAAAACTCTACTAAAACTGATGTAGTCATCATTGCTTTGAGTATATTAAATGACAGATAAATAGGCTACACATCTTACTTGGTTATGTTTGAAAATTGATTTTATTACCCCAATCTGAAACAGTTTAAAGTGGCCAAATGTATTAAAATATTTTATTCAGAGAAATTAACTGCAGAAATTCAAACACTAATTCTATTTCAATAATTTCTTAGCTCAGCATGGTGGCCCATGCATGTAATCCCAGTGACTCAGGAGGCTGAAGCAGGAGGATCTCAAGTTCAAGGCCAGCCTCAGCACGTGAGACCCTGCCTCAAAATGAAAAATAAAGGGCTAGGGATGTAGTGGTAGAGCACCAGTGGGTTCAATCCTCAGCAAACCCTTCCACCATCTGCCAAAAAAGGAAGCTCAATGTTGTAGAGTCCTAGACCCAGAAGTTCTTTAAAAAAATAGCCTACCTATTGTGAAAAGTTCAGGTATACATATGTAAATCAGAAAACAGTAGCTGATCAAATCAGCTGTAGAATTTGATATAACTAAAGCTGCAAAGCAAAGATAATATCACCAAAGAAAGAACCTAGCCTGGTTGGGATACAATTCACTTTGAATTCTGGATATCTTAACTTGAAGAATCCCAATAATTCTGGATATCTTAACTTGAAGAATCCCAATAATTTATTTTTGCTTTATTAACAAATAAACATTAGTACCATCAGTTGGTAGAGTGCTTGCCTCGCATGCACAATGCCCTGGGTTCAGTCCCCAGAACCACCAAAAAAAAAAGAATACCAATAATCATTCAATTCCTTGGATCCTCATTTAAAAGGAGAAACCCATTTCTAAGCATATGTGTACAAGTACTTTAGCCTCTTCATGCCTGCTTGCCTGTCCCACAGTTAAAGAAGGCAGGATATTTGGTTAGGCATATGTTTATGAGCAAAGGCAGGAAAATTCCAACTTTAAAACCAAATATTTTCCTTGTTTAATTCTGGTATCTTATTGGTCCATATGCTGCCTCCTCCTCACAGTATGGTACCAAAATCTCTTAGATCTTGACTTTCTTTTAGCATGTAATGGTAACATCAAGCAGACAGAATTGAAGAATAGAAATACTGGAAGAGAAAGCAGAGCAAAACAGATGATGAACTAAATGTATACTGATACCCCTGCTAAAGACATTAGGTATTCCATAAATGCTTGTTGAAGATAAATTCATCTTTTTCCCTTAATTTAAGAATTCTTGAGTTAATTATAACTCCTTTTTTGTGTATGTGTACGAAGGATTGGACCCAGGACTTTGTATGCTGAGCTATATCCCATGAAGCTGACAGATCCAGTCATCTTGTCAATTAACATAACAGGACATTGATGAGACTCTGATATATTTATATATATATACACACACACACACACACACAAACATTATGAAAGCAGAAATAAAATTGTCTTTTGCACTAGACAAGTGTTCTATACTAATATTCTGCTCATTGTGTGTTATAAAAGCTGCAACTAACTGGCCTATGCCTCGCCCTACCCCCCCAAAAGGATTGTATGAGTGCTCCATAAAATGTCTAGGAGGGGGACCTGGGGTTGTGGCTCAGCAGTAGAGCGCTCACCTAGTATGAGCGAGGCCCTGGGTTCGATCCCCAACACCACATAAAAATAAATAAATATATTGTGCTCAACTACAACTAAAAAATAAATAAATAAATATTTTAAAAATGTCTAGGAGCGGGGCTAGCTTCAAGAAGACCAAGTCCATGCAAACAAATGATATATTTCAAACTCTCCTGATATTCATCTCTGTTTCTCTGTATTGGCCTCACTTTCTCCTGCTTCAATTAGGGAGGGAAGCAGGCAGTTTGTGAGATGCTATTCTTTAAGCACTTAAAAGATATTTTTTATGCCCAAATGTCTAGAAATGGTGGCACCTGCTTGTAATCCCAGCTACTCTGGAAGTTGAGGCAGGAGAATTGTAAGCTTGAGGCCAGCCTCAACAACTCAGTGAGACCCTATTTCAAAATAAAAAAGAAAAAGGGTTGGAAATGTTGCTCAGAGTATCCCTGGGCTCCATCCCCATTACTGAAAATGAAAATAAAAAGTAAGTTTGAGAAATAACCACAATACCCTCCCTCTAAAAGACTCAATTTGTATTATAAACATTCTGAAAAGTTATTCAATAAAGAAAACTATTTAACAGTTGAACTCACATCTACAAATCACATTTGAATATGGAATCCTTTTTTAAGAATATCTTATCTTTAGAACCACAGTTTGGAAAACAATAAGTTGAAAAATGATGACAATCCAGTATTTGATGAAAAACTGAAACAAACATTCTATCTGCTTACTTTTAAATTTAAAATATACCAGAAGACCACAAAATTCAATTTTGTATATAAAAAAGTTTACATTCCAGATTAAAATGAACTTACCTGCATCGAAATAAGAATGAAATCAATTAGGCTCCCAATTCCACAAAATCCTACAGTGCAAAATTTTAACAAACCTAGAAAAGAAGATAGTCATTTACAATCTAAAAAGTCTTACAAATATTAGTGAACTTTTCCATTTTTCTAATAAGCCCTGACTATAAGCTCTTTGTAGTATTATAATAAAATCAATATTTTTAAAAAATCACATCATCTAAAAATATTTAATGGATTCTCATATACAGAAAAGTCACAAAATAATTTATTTTTGCTTTATTAACAAATAAACATTAGTAAGAAAAACTCAATGTAATCTTGCAAAACTTCTCAAGGGAAAATACCTAAGGAAATAAATTTTTAAATCTTTTAGTCCTAAAATCCTCACTGACTTACTTAGACTTAACACATCAGTGATCCAAATTTTGCTATACATTTAGAATAGAAAGTTCAAATATATAGCGATTGGGGACTTATCTCAATGGCAGAGTACTTGCAAAGCATGCACAAGACCATAGGTTCTATCCTCAATACAAAAAAAAAAAAGTGAGGAAAGAAAGTTCAAATATATAAATTGTCATATATCTCTCTCATAAACACACACACACACAAACACACACACAAAAAAATCAGAAAGCAACACTAATCATTTAAAATTGCACAATTTTATTAGTACCCAATTACCTCTAATTTATCCTATACTTTTTTCCCTAAGCATTTTCTGTTTACTAGTACTAGTCAAAATCAATAGTCCCACACTAAGTACTTTATATATACCATTGGTCCTTGGTCCTAATCCAAGAATTAGGATACTAAAATAGGTGATAAAAGAGCATTGACTGACTGTAGGATATATATGGGGATATAACCCCAAAACATGATGATTACTGGGAGATAAGTGATCCTTCTTCAGTATTTGAATTTCTTACAAGGCATCACAGTTGAGATTTTAAAATGGCATGAAAAAACAACTCTTTGTGAAAAGGAAGTTGCAAATATCAACTAAAAATAGGTAACAGCTAAAACTAAGTGTAAAAAAAGATCAACCCTCGCATACAACCTGGAAACACACACACACACAAAAAGATTGAAATGCATAGGTACATGAGTTGATTTTCCCATCTTCTTAGTATAAGACACACTGTAGCATAATGTTATAAGTACTGGCTAACAAGTTACAAATAATTTAACAACTATTAAAAATATTATAGAAGCTGGGCTCAGTGGCGCACACCTGTAATTCCAGCAGCTGGGAAGGCTGAGGCAGGAAGATCACAAGTTCAAAGCCAGCCTCAGCAAAAAGTAAGGCACTAAGCAACTCAGTGAGACCCTGTCTTTAAATACAATACAAAATAGGGCTGGGAATGAGGCTTGGTGTCAAGTGCCCCTGAGTTCAAACCCCCATACCAATAAATAAACAAATAAATAAATAAATATTATAGAAAATTTCACTTTGTTTTCTTCAAAACATTTATTATCTACACAACATTTTGAGTTATCTTTTTATTTTGAGATATGGTCTTGCCAGATTGCCAGACTGGCCTCTATATTGCGATCTTCCTGCCTTAGCTTTCCAAGCCAGACTATAGGTATGTGCTGCTGCTATATCAGGCTACAAGTATACTTAGTTTATATCTAACTATGCTTTTAGTTATACATAAATATAGTTTTATTTATAACTTAAGTTATGTATTTTAAAAACACAAATTTGGACATATCCCTTATTACTCCATTCATTTTATTTATTTATTTTAAGGCAGGTTCTCACTAAATTGCCTTGGCTGGCCCTGAATCTGCAATCCTCCTGCCTCAGCCTCCTGAGCTGCTGGGATTAAAGGTGGGTGCAGCACACATATACTGTATCCAGCAGTATATGTTGCTCCATTAATATGTACAGTTGTTATTTTTTAATGTACCAGAGAAGAAATAAATTTTTAAAAAATGTTATTTTGAAACATTCGAAAAGTAATTACTACATTATCTATTTAAGGATTATAAAGTTAATTTTTATAACATTAAATAAATAAAAATTTAAAATTAAAATAAAAATGGAAATTTAGTAATAAGATTTATTTAGGTATAAAGTAAAAAGATAAGATAGCTGGGGATACAGCTCAGTAGTATAGCATTTGCTTAATGATATAAGGCCCTGGGTTCAATCCCCAGAACTTCCAGAAATTAACTTGATATTCACAAAAAAATCTGTGATAATTTTTTGCTTTAGAAGTTGGGTCTTGCAAATACTATTCTGTCTGCAACAGTTTTGTTTTTCTTTTATTATTATTATTTCTTTTTTTTTTTTTCTTCTTTTTTTTAATGTTTACAGTACTAGGGATGACACCAAAGGGCACTTTACCACTGAGCTACATTTCCAGTCTTTCAGGCTTGAAAAAAGGTCTTGTTAAATTGCCAAGACTGGCCTCCAAATCACAATCCTGCTTCAGCTTCCTGAGTAGCTGGGATTAGAGGCTTGAGTCATCATGCCTGGCTCTCTCTCTCTCTCTCTCTCTGTGACTGTTTTAAAAATGCAGATTATTTCACATTGAGGTTGCTGACTATCAAATCACAAGTGTTTTACAATGATTTGATAACTAGGTATTCTTATCCTTTTTGTGTATACATCTATAAAAGAGAGCTTTCAAATCTTAGAATAAAAGTTTAACCCATAAATCATTTTATTTGTCCTAGTATCAGTGGTTATTACATACCAGTTCAAACTTGTAGTTTCAAAATTAACCCATTAAGTCCCAAGTTTTTAATTCTGTAAATATTTCTGTAAAACTGACACAGGAGGGGCTGAGGTTGTAGCTCAGTGGTAGAGCATTTGCCTTGTGAGGCACTGGGTTCAATCCTCAGCAAAAGAAAGAAAGGAAAGAAAGAAAGAAAAAATTGTGTCCATCTACAACTAAAAAATATATACTTTTTTTTTAAAAAACTGAAGCAGGAATAATAGCCAAAGATGTTTAAGATTTGAGTTTTAAAACACACCTTGTTATTTTCATAACAAAAAAATACTTACATTTTAAATTCAATATCTCTATGAAGAGTCTTTTCTTTTATTGCTTCCAAAACACCTATTAAGAATCCATAATCTTTTAATGTTGCAGATGGGCAAAATATGCCAGTTACTGCATATTTTTTAAAAACCACAGATGTTAACATAGAGTTAAAAACACAAATAATACTATTAGAAAAATAAGGCTTCATGGTGAAAAAAGGCTTCCAGCTAAAGCAAATACTGAGGAATAAATCAATTAAAGGAAATAAAGCTCTACATAAAGTCACAGAAAAGAACCAAACTACAGCCCTAAATATTTTTTTTAATTTTCTTAAATAAATTTTTATATCTTGCAAGAAAGTTCATCTTCCACAACAAGTTCCTCATTTAATTCTGATACATCACACTTAAAACTAAATTACTTAGGAAATTTCACACTATCATGATTTACAGTATTTATTCTAATAAAATTCTAGTCATTCATTAATGGACATTATTATGAATAATGATATAAAAAACACGGGAATGCAAATATCTTATCAAGTCACTGATTTCATTTCCTTTGAACACAAACCCAGAAATGGGATTGCTGGATCATATGGTGGTCCTATTTTTAATTTTGGAAGGTTTTTTCATATTGTCTTAAATAATGGGTATATCAATTTACATTCCCCAACACTATACAAGGATTCCCTTTTCTCCACATCCTTACTAACATTTGTTATCATTTCTTTTTAATAGATGATCTAAGAAGTGTAAGAATAATGATTAGTGATGCTCAACACCTTATCATATACCTATGGGACATCTGTTTGTCTTCTTTGGCAAGATATCAATTCAAGTCGGTGGCCCATTTTTAAATCAGGTTATTTGTTTTTCTGCTATTGAGTTGTAGAAGTTCTTTATATGGTCCCTTCTCAGACATATGGTTTATAAATATTTCAGAATACATATACAGTGGACTCAACCTTTCAAAAGGAGGAAATCTTTCCATCTGTAATTATGAAGATGAACTTGGAGGACTTTATGCTAAGTGACACAAGATAGCCACATAAAAACAAATATTTGATGAGAATACTTAATGTAGTATCTAAAATAGATGAACTTAGAGAAACAGGGCAGAATGATGGTTGACAAGGTTGTGGAGTGGGAATAGAGAGATGCTGGCCAGGAAGAATCAACTTTCAACTACAAGATGTACCGCCCACGTCCCGCAGGTGATAGAGTCAGGGTCACTCAGCATGAATTGGGCTGGCAACAAAAAGACTACACAAACACAGAAATATCTTTTGTGGAGATCAGGGACAGCTCTGAGATCTCAGTTCCCACGTTGGAGGGCAAGAGGAACAAGGGAGGCAAGAGAGAAAGAAAGTACCCCAAACCCCTGTATTTATTAGAGGAAAGACACTGATAGAATATTCCACCAAATAAGTCAAGGGATTGTGTTACAACAAAAGGGGGTGTAGCCCAGTCCCATGGGTGATGCCCAATCCTAGCGCTGCACTTCCTTGCCAAGCGAAGGTAAGATCTACTTGCTTTGCACTGCATGAAATGCCAGTTCAATACCCCCATTACTCAAGGCTGAGGAGGCGTGCTCAGCTCCAACTCAGGTGCCCCCCCACAAAGATGGATGAACTTCTAAGTATCTATAATACTATATGCTAAATACAGTTAATAATAATGTAATATATACCTAAAATTTGCTATGGGAGATTAAATTTTTTGATACAAAGAAAGTATATATATTTATGCATTACCATGTGACATTTCTTTATCTATATACATCATGTAAGGGGAAAGATTTTGTATACTCAGTACACAAACTGAAAAAAGAGCAGGGTAGGGTAGGGGGAGGCTGGAGTTGTAGCTCAGTGGTAGAGAACTTGCCTAGCACACTTGAGGCCCTGGGTTCAATCCCCAGCACCACAAAAAAGAACTACATAAGGCATACTTATACAAATATATTGTTGGGGCTGGGAGTATACCTCAGTTGAACATCACTTGTCTAGCATGTACAAGGCCCTGAGTTTGATCCCTAGCACTGCTAAAACAAATCCTTGCCAGTGCAGTGGCACATGCCTG